CGCCTCAGCCTTCAAGTAGCCGGAATTACAGGCATGCGCTACCACACCAGGCTGATTTTTTGATTTATTGTAGAGATGAGGTCTCGCTGCCCAGGTGGGTCTCAAACCCGCGGGCTCAGGCAATCCACTCACCTCAGCCTCCCAAAGGCGCAGGATTACAGGCTGAGCCACCGAGCCCGGCTCGTTGTTTAATTTTTTAAGTAACTGCAAAATTGTCTTCCAAGGTGATCATAGCATTTAATGTTCCCAGCAGCAGTGGATAAGAGTTCCAGTTACTCTATCTACATCCTTGCCAATGCTTGATTTGGTCAGTCTTTTTAATTTTAGCCATCTGAATAGATGTGTGATAGTACATGATCGTGACTTTAATTTGCATTTCCCTAACAACAAATTATCTTTAGTATCTTTTTATTTGCTTATTTCCCATCAGTATATCTTTTTTAGTGATGTATCTGTTCAAATATTGTGTTCATTTTTAAATTGGATTGTTTTCAGATTATTGAGTTTTGAGGGTTCTTTTATATATGCTGGATACAAGTCAAATAGGTGATTGAGTGTGTGGTTTTTCCCAGTGCTAGATTTTACATTCTCCTACACTGTCTTTCTAATTTTGAGTTTTTAATTTTGTTGAAGTTCAGTTTATTAATTTGTTCTTATACAACAGAATATGCTTTGGGTGTTGTAGCTAAGACTCTTTGCCTGACCTAGAGTCCCAAAGAGTTCTCTTATGTTTTCATCTAGTTGTTTTATAGTTTCAGCCTTTAAATTTATGTCTCTGATCCATGTTGGGTTGTTAGTTTTTTTTTAAATGGTGTGGGGTATGGACTGAAGTTCTTTCTGTTTGTTTGCTTATAGTGTCTGGGAATCTCCTTGTTATAACACCATTTGTGAAAAGACTATTCTTTTTCCACTAAATTAATTGCCTGTTCAGCCTTTGCTAAATATCAATTGGCTATATATGTGTGAGCCTACTTTGGACTCTCTGTTCTGATCCATTGATCTGTTTGTGCATCTTGACCTATACCATGCTGTCTTGATGACTGTTGTTTTATAGTAGTCTTGGAGTCAGGTAGTATACGTTCCTCCCTTTGTTTGTTGTTTGTTTCAGATTTGTTTTGGCTATTCTTGGTCCCTTATGATTACATGTGCATTTTAAAATCATCTTGTCAATTTCTATTTTTAAAAAATGCCTGCTGAGATTTTGAATGAGGTTGTATTGAATCTGTAGGTCAATTTGGGGATAATTGAAACTTAACAATATTGAGACTTCTACTCCATAGTTATGGTATATCTCCTTTCTCAAGTTTTTAAAAATTTCTCTCAGCAGTATTTGAAAGATTTTAGCATACAGGTCCTGAGTATTCCTTACTTTTACTTACTGATGCCATTGCAAGTGGCATTACATTTTTTAAACTTCTGAATGTTGGTGGCTAGTGGGTAGAAATATAATCACTTTTTATATACTGTTCTTCTATTCTGCAACCTTGCTAAACTCATGAGTTCTAACAACTTTTTTTGCATCTATTGAGGTCAGCATATGATTTTTTCTTCCTTATGTTATTACAGCAAATTACACTGACTTTCAAATGGGGAAGCAGGCTTGCTTTCCTGGGATAAGTCCAGCTTGTTTATGACGTACTATCCTTTTCATTATTGTTGTAATTGATTTGCCGACATTCTGTTAAGAATTTTTGCATCTGAGTTCAAGAGAGAGCCTTGCTCATCACTGGCTTCCGCTGGTTTGGCTGGATCTGAGCGAGGGGTGCCTGTCAGGCAGCTCATAGATACAAACATGATAAGGTAGAACTGCTCCTCCATCAAGGGCTGTGAGTAGTGATGGTTCCCACAAAGGAGATTTTAGGCAAATGAACACCCCAAAACATGTCTCCTATATACTGTGTGGGCCCACCCTCAGGAGGGTGTCATCTCCTTCTCCCCATCCTGAGTGCCCACCTGCTGCTGGTGTGACCATGCCATGCCAAAGTCACTTTCCCTCCTGAGGGACCCAGTAGAGATGTGAATCAAGGGCCTGAAAAATATTCCTATGTTTTGAATCACTAATCCCTGTTTTCAGAATTTCTTCTCCAGAAACACTCTGTGATGTAGAAATAGCTTTATCCACAGAGATGTTCACTGCAGCATTGTTTAGAACTCATATTTCCAAGAGGAGGAGACTGGCTGAGGAAATAACATCACGTCTGCCAAATGGAAGACTACATAGCTATTGAAGGAGTGATTTATGAAGATGGTAGCGACAGTGGGAAATCTCACATGTATCCTTAGGTGAAAGTAGAAAAACAGGTTATGGAATTCTATGTGTCACCAGATAAGGAATCGACTGAAAGAGGCAGCTAGTGTGCAACAAAGGAGGATTGTTTCCTGGGCGGAACTATTCTTTGTCTTACTCTGGTTTCCAAAATTTCTTGAATAAGTATAGGTTCCTTTTATGGATTTAAAAAAAATCATAATTAAGAAAGGGAAGAGTAGAATTTGCTGTCTCCGAGGCAGCCACCCCCTGGTTGGCCAGGCTGGGGGTGGGGGTCACGTCTGGTCTTAGCTCAGTGTCTGGTCTCAGTGCCACCCTCTCACTGTCTTTCAGGCTTTGGGAACCATCACTGCAGTGCCTGTCACAGGTCCTCAGGTCAGCTCCTTGCAGAGGTTGGCCGGGCAAGGAGCGGCAGTGCTACCTCAGGTAAGCAGCCCGCAGGTGGGCCTGGTGTGTCCACCCATCTGTCCCTGTGTTCTCTGTCTGCAGCCCCTCAGCACGAGGATTTTGGTGGGCACCCTCTGGGTCCCTTCCCAGATGGCGCTTTCCCTTCCTGCCTCCTCCACCCATTTTTCGATGGAGACATTGGGACCAGATCCGGTTTTTCAGTGAGGAATTGGGAAATCAATTTAGTGGGTCATGACCAGAATTTTTTTTTAAATGGCATAATCTAGGCTAAACTAAAATAGAGGTATCAAGATACATCATATGCATTGTTTCTTGAACAACTTGTTTCTGTACTGGGTCACACGTAACATATATTTTTAACTATGGGTCATGGTAAAAAAAAGTTTGAGAAATTCTAGACGAGGCGATTCATTTCAGGAGGCAGCTCAGGCACTGACTGGCTGGAGGCCCTGGGTTCTCACCCAGGCTTCCTTGACTGGGTTCCAATCTTGGGACAAGTCACCTGGCCTCTTAACCTTCCTGGGCTGAGGCGTCTCACCTGCAGAGGAACGAATGCAGGTGCCTGAATGGCCCATCACTGGCTGTGAGGGTTGAATCAGAGAACAAAGCATGTATAACTGTGCTTGATACAGAGCAAACACTCAGTAATTATTGACCAGTACCTTTACTACCACTAGCTCAACCTTGCTGAGCACCTGATGTATACACCATACCTGGCCAGGGGCTGCCAGCTGCAGAGATGAAGACAGTCCCTGCCTGTCCTGGGAATTCATGGCTGAACAGATTCCCCCAGCTTGGGGATGGTGAGAGGTGGCTGCATGTGACTGTCGTCCATGTGGCAACCTTTCCCAGGTGCCCACCTGTGCCGAATCCAACAGGGTCTTGTCACTGCGAGGCTCAGCATCTGGAGGGAGGACAGACAAGGAAGCAGATACTCTGAATCCGGGGTGATCTGACCATGTCAGAAGGACACCCTGGGGGTGGTGGGAGCCCTGAGGAGACCCATCACACGCCTGGGAGTCAAGGAAGGCTTCCTGGAGGAGGTGGTGCTTGAACCAGGCCTCAGGGTGGGAGGATGTTGCAGGCCAAAATGGAGGGAGGCAGGCCTCAGAGGGAGAGCACTCCAGGGGAGAGCAGGGTGGGAAATAGAGGCAGGGGTGGTGAGGAGAACCAGACCCAAGCATAGGGAGAGTGGGAGGCCAGAGCAGGAAGGGAGATGGAGGGGCCGGTGGGGACCTTTCAGGGACCTCGGAGTCAGGTTTCCCTTGTCAGGACCTGTGGGTAGTAGGGAGCTATGCGAGGCTTCTGAGCGAGGGAGGGCTTGAGGGAGAAGCTTCTGATCAAGATCAGTGTTGTTTCCCTCTGGACCGTGCCCACAGCCTTCTACCTCTTGCCCTCCTGCCTCCTGGGCTTCTGACTCCATGGTTCTCCCTTGCTGTCCTCTACCCACAAACGTCTGGACTTGACATTGGCCTGGTGGCCTCCAGGTCAGTCAGCTAGGGCCAGAATGTCCCAGTGTACACCGGGTCCAGCTACCAGCTGCTGCTGCCACTGGAAGCTCAAGGGGAGTATAGACAGCCTGTGATGGGGCCAGCCTGACCGAGCCAGCCACAGATGCAAAAAAAGGAGTGAGGGCTGAGCAGGGAGGACCTGGAGCCCTCCTGGTCTGGGGCTGCACACATCTCCAGGCCACACAGGCTGAAGGACTACACATTTGGGCCAAACCCTGAGCCTCTGTTGAGCTTATTTTCAGTGTTTGGCCTCTGCGATTAGGGCTGGCTCACCCATCCTGAGTCCGGGTTACATAGGCTTAGGCCAGGGTCAGCCAGACCACACTGGCAAACCCCAAATGACCAGGGAGGAGCCGACAGAACACAGAATAGCAGTCACCACAGCTGGGGTCTCGCTGACCACCCCTCGGACATTCATCCACCCCCATGCCAGTCCTCCAGTGGCCGAGAATAGCAGGTCACCAGCCGGTGACTGCAGCTGAGACCCAGCAAGTACCAGAAGGATTCTTTCCTCAGTTTTCCGCATTTGGTGTTGGTGTTTGGTTGGGCCATGAACCTGGTGTCAGGGGCCAGAGGTTCTGACCACTGGTGCTGAGGACAGAGTGGCAGGATCACCTGAACCCAGGCTGGCCACGCCACCTGTTGTGGCAGGACCCTGATACTGGAGGGCAGGCCCATTTTCCTAGGGCCCACTGTGATGGGATGGGAGGGGCACCAGAATAGAGGTCCATCGCCATGCCAGGTACTGGTGAGAAGCTCACGGGAGCTGCCTTGGACCAGTCCCTCCACACGTGTCATTGAAGAAGGGACGGGGGGAGATAAAGAGGCCAGCACAGTGCTCTGTGACCTCCACTAATGCCAGATGGACTTGCAGAGGTCCTGGGTTCAAGTCCCACCACCCTGATGATAACGGCTATAGCATCATTCTTATCTGCTAAGTCTCTCCACTCCAAGCCTCAGTTTGCTTATCTGTAGAATAGGCCAGTATGCCTACCCTACGGTAAGGTCGCAGCGGGGCTCAGGTAAGATGAAAAGTCAAATCAGGTCTGTCTCCAAGCCTCCATCTCCTGTCTCTAAGGAGGTGATATTCGTGTGGCCCTCCCAGGGTTGGGGTGGCCTCCTCTGAGAACTGAGGTGTTCCTGGTTCAGTGTGTAGGGTCAGCACTGTGGTGGTGGCTGTGTGATGGTTTGAAGGAATGCTGGTGAGGGATGTGGTGACATCCCACATTTGGGGCAAGCCTGATACTGTGCATTTTTTTCACTCCAGTCCCAGGTGGTTCCCATCACAGATGAGGGACCTGGGCCCAGGCACATTCCAGTATGTCCCTGAGACCACAGAGATCGCAGAGGAGACAGGATTCGCCCCAGACTACTGTCCAGAGCCCTGGTCTGGACCACACAGTGGCTGCCTGCAGCTGCCAGCAATATACCTTAACTCCTTAGAGAATGACACGTCAATCACACACAGCTTCATGGTTTTCGCGGGCACACAGTGGCAATGCCCACCCAGAGGGAGATGAAGAATTGGCAGGGTGGGACTCCCCTACTCCGCCCAAGGGCAGCACTCTCTGGACTTCCAGGGCCAGAGCAAGCTTTGGCCTCATGCCTCCAGACACTGCCTTCCCATCCTCCACCCCTCACCCCATTTTCTCCGAGTGGAGCTGGGAGGGACTTGGACCCAGAGTGGCTCCTCCTGAGCTCCGTGACTGGTCTGTGCGAATCCAGAAGGGAGGCATCGGGGTCAGGGTCCTGCCCCCTGGGAGGTCTTGGCAGCCCCATGCCCTTTCCAATGCTGTCCCCTCATCTGGAACCTGGACGGTCTCTGAGCCAGGGCTGCCCCTCCCCTGTGCCTTTCAGACATGCCTGTATGTTTCTGTGTGTCTGACCGCACACCTGTCCCTTCCTCCCAGGTTAGGCCAAAGACTCTGATCCCAGACAGCCTCCCCGTCACCCCGGGCCGGGACCGGCCACCCAAGCAGCCCCCAACATTCCAGAAGGCCACCGTGGTCAGCGTCAAGAACCCCAGCCCAGCCCTCCCCACCGCCAACAACACCGTCAGCCATGTGCCAGCGCCCGGCAGCCAGCCCCAAGCCCTCACCGAGCCCGCTGCCCTCGCCTCTCCCCTGAGCAGCGCCGGGGTGGCCTACGCCATCATCTCCACCGCCCCCAGCAATGTCACCGCCATGGCCCCCAGCACCGCCGTGTCTGTGGTTAGCGACAGCATCAAAGTCCAGCCCCTCCTCATCAGTGCCGACAACAAGGTGAGTATCCGCCAGAAGGCTCCGGACAGGACACGTCTCCACACAGGGGAGGCCTCGAGGGCCGTCGTCCAAGAGAAGCCAAAGGAACAAGGCCTGGGCAGAATGAATCACTGGGAGACGGGATGATCCAGAGGCCAAGTGAATGAATGGGGTAGAAGCAAGAGCGAATGAATGGGGTGTGAACATTGATGATGGCAGTGAACCCGTGCGTGAACAAGTGAATGAATGTGTGAATCAAAGAAAACATAGCTGAATGCATTAATACCAGTGGAAAAGGAATCATTGATCAACTAATGTGTTAGTTAATTCACTGGAATAAGTAGCCAATTAATAAGATGTGCAGCTGAGTGAACCGCTGGAAGAGAGCCCGGCGTGGATGACCTGCCCTTGCTGGTGGAGTCACATGGTCAAGGGCTTTCTGTCCACTTCAAGTGCCCGAATGCAAAATTTCCATGCTTTCCTGCCAAGATTTAAAACCAAAACTGGCCGGGCTCGGTGGCTCAGCCTGTAATCCCAGCACTTTGGGAGGCCGAGGCAAGTGGATTGCCTGAGCCCGCAGGTTTGAGAGCCACCTGCGCAACTTGGCGAGACCTCATCTCTATAGTAAATCAAAAAAATTGGCCGGGCGTGGTAGCGTGCGCCTGTAGTTCCAGCTACTTGGAAGGCTGAGGCGGAGGGATCGCCAGAGCCCAATAGGTCGAGGCTGCAGTGGCTGGGAGTGTGTCACTGCACTCCAGTTTGGGCGACAGAGAGAGACTCTGACTCAAAAAAAATAAAAATAAAACAATAAAACCAGAACTAAGATCCCCTGCCCGTTTCCCTCTCAGCCTCTTGGCAGTTGTGCTGTTCGAGGCCTTGGGGGCTGCATCACCACTGCCGTCTCCTCTTTCTGACCTCTTTTCCTTTGTCCCCAGTTTGGGGTCTGCCAGACTGCCCCTCTCTTGCTGGTGGCTGGGTGCCTTCTGTTTGCCCAGCCTGGATGGTGGTGCTTGACTGTCTTGTGAACTCACGTTATTGCATCCCATTTATTTCTGGGAGTGTTGTGCTTCCAAACCCTCCCACCCACTGGTGGCATCTCGAAGGAGTCTCAAAGCCTGAGGAGTTCGAATGGGCCAGGATGGAGCCTGATGTGAAAGGGGTGCTTAGATATCTAAAGGATGTATCTGTTTCACTGCAACCGCACCAGCATTCCGTGTTGGCGTTTTAGACGTTTTGCTCATTTAACAGGCACACACCAATGCCTCATTGTTGAAAGTTGAATTCCTTTGGCTATTTTTAAGCTTGAATATTCTTCCTATACTTCTTAAGAATTCTATCTCCTTATGTGTGACTTGTTTAAGGATGTTCTTTGCCCTTTTTTTCTATTGGAGATCTTAATGTTTTGCTTCCCATGAACATGGAAAGGAGAATTTGAGTTTTTAAAATGTGATACAAAGAAGAAAGAACTTCCCTTAAGTCAGCAGAAAAATGGATTTTCTCTTCATGTTCAGGAGCCTTGAATACACAAGATAGTCACCGCATGTGCTTGAGGGAGAAAACCTACAACAAATTTCAGTAATTCCTAGCTTGGGTCAGACCCCGGCTGAGGGATCTAGTGAATTCCTCTTCCTTGGATCCACGAAAAATAAGGATTCTTTCCCAATTCCCCATCCAAAGAAATAAAATACTAGGCCTCAGATGAAAGGGATTCTGGCCAGAGAGAAGCTGGGCAGGATGAGGTGTTGCCAAACTGAATTTTAGTGTCAGACTCTGATCAAACCAGATTATCCCCTGAACCCTGAGGAAGACTGGCTAAGACCGGGCTGCCTGGGCGAGGCAGAGTGTGGTCTGGTCCATTCAGCCTGGATGTTGGTGCTCGACCAGAGTGCAACCTGATCTCTTTCCCCACCTTTTGCACGGTAGAGTGAAAAAATAGCGCATGATTCCCACGCCCCCTCCCCGCTCAGGCTTGACTGTCTCAGGCAGTGGCCTGAGGGGGACCAGGAGGCAGCAGCCAGACTGACCCAGAACAAGTACCTGCCTCTCTGCCCCCTGACTTGATGGCCTCAGGTGAGGAGCAAGTGTGAGCCCTCTTGACCTCAGCTTACCTGCGGCTGAGCTGGGAATAAAAGCCAACCTCTCCCAAGTCCCTCCCAGCCTCCCTGGAGAGAGGCCTTGCCAAGGTTGTCCTGAGGAGCGAACTGAGGCTCAGAGGCTGAGTGACCTCCCTGAGGCCACACTGCTCTGACATGGCGGGACAGGATTGGAGCCCAGAGCCTGCTGGTTCCTGACCCAGGCTGACTTCTCGTGCAGCCCGCCTCCCTGTGGAAAGGCCGTCAGGAGGGTCAGTCGGGTGCTGGACCCACAAGTGGTGTGAGCCATCTTGCTCTTGGGTGCCCCGCCTGCCAGGATGTGCCTAGCCCTGGCTCTGGGGGCCCTGCCCACCTCCCCTAGCTACCCTCACCCCTCCTTCCTCCACCCCTCCACTCCTCCCTCCCTCCTTGTGCCCCATCCCTCCCTCTCCAGCTCCCTCACCCCTGCCCTCTCTCTCACCCCTCACTCCCCATCACTACCCCCTCACCCCTCCATGGCATCTTCCAGGTCATCATCATTCAGCCTCAAGTGCAGACGCAGCCCGAGAATACGGAGGAGCCATCTCAGGGAGCTCAGGCCACCAAAAAGAAGAAGGAAGACCGGCCCCCGACCCAGGAGAACCCCGAGGTAAGGCACCCTCGCTAGAGGGCCCAGGCCCTGCAGGGGTCACTGTGGGAGGAGGTACTGTCCTGAGCAGGGACAGTCTCACTATGGGGTGGTCCTCACAGGCCTCGGGCACGGCCACCCTGTGCAGTAGGTGCTCCTGGGGTGAGGACTCTCACCCCATAAACTAAGGGGTCCCTTTCAGGGAGGCATTGGCTGGACGGCAGGGTGGGTCAGTGGTTAGCATAGAATCCAGGGCCCTTCTACGCCACTTGAGTCCAGCACAGTCAGTGTCCAGCATGGTACCCTGGGCAGCTCACAGCTGTCCCCTCAGCTGTGAAGTGGGAATGGAAAGGCCTCCTCCCTCACGGGACTGCTGAGAGGAGGCCATGAAATGACATCTGCTGAGACCCCGGACAGTACCTAGCAGGGACTGTTGGCTGTCATGCCCCATCCCAGGAGCCCTGGTTGCGGGCCCCTTGGTCCTGAGTCCGGGAGGGGATGGATCTCCTCTGGGCAGCATGTGGCCCTGAAGTGGCCCCTGCTGCTTCCCTCTGTCATGACCAGTGTGGGAAGGTGGCCAGAGAGGACCCTGGACGCTTTAGAAGTAGCTGCCACCTCCTGTTGGTGCAGGAGATGCAGGCGTCTCCTGCGTGCCCAGAGAACTCCCCAGAAATTGCACATGAAACCATCTCCCCCAAAGGTGGAGGGATACATAGGCTCCTGTTGAACCATCCACGTACCTGGCGGACACGCAGCCCTGGCAGCCGCTGACACATAGCCACTCTTTGCTGAGCTGGTGGCTGCCTGCAGCAGGTGTGCTATCTTACCTCTCAGCATCTGGGCCAGATCCAGCCCGGTTTCCTCTCCTCTGGGCCTTTCTCCATGCGACTCTTCCCACTGGTTTCCTTCTGCCTCCCTGCTGTGCCCCCCTTCATCCCACGAGATGCGGCTCAGCCATGGCCCCCAGGGGCCCTTCTCTGCCCGTTCTGCCCCCACTGGGAGTGTCCTGCCCCCAAAGGGAGCCCCCTGCCCTCGATGGGAACCCCCGGACCCCAAAGGGAGCGCCCTGCCCCTGCCTCTCTGGCTCCTGCAACTCCCTACGATCCTTTCCACCCATGTGCTGTCCATATCAAAGGAAGTCCATCGTCTACCCTTCATGTCTTTCTTTAGTTGTCATATACATCTTTGAGTCTGCTCCCTGCCAGGCTCTGTGCCACAGGTTGAGGACGCTGAAATGTGGGCAGAAGTGGTCCTCGCCCCAGGGAAATGCACTTCTATAGCCAGAGACAGGCATGGCTACAAAGGACTCTGATGTGGTTTTAAAAATGTCAAGTGTCATCAGAGAGTTCCAAATTTAGGGCCACAGGCGATGAGGGGAGAGGGGAGAGCCACGTGTCCTCCAGGAAGGGCTGAGGAAGGCTTTGCAGGGGAGGGTGTGGTTGGCGGGGGCCGGAGGAGTAAGTGGGACCCAACAGGGTGAGAGGCAGGGGGGACACACGTCAGTGGAAGGGACCCCTGTGGACAGTAGCACGGAGGTGAGGAGGGCTCAGCACGCCAGACTCGTCAGCTGGACTGTCGGCCTGCAGATAGCATATGTGCATGAGAGTGTCTAAACGTAGGGTTAGGACAGACGTCGGACCCTAAACCTGGAGGATCTGAATGTGAGCTGCCAAGGTGGCATTTTATTCCCCAGGTAATGGGGAGCCATGGAGTGTCTTTGAGCAGGAGAGCAACTTGGTTATTGTCCTTTGATATGCCCCAGAACAAATAAAGTCAACTGCTAGAGGAGGCTGCGATGTGGACCAAGTCTCTTCTATGGCCCCAGGCCCATTGTCTCAAGAGAAACAATCCATTCCATTTCATGGCAATGTCCGAGCGCCTACTGTGTGCATGGTGAGGCCCTGGGTCAGCTCTTGGCTCTCCCATGGGTACCCTTGCGCACCCTCGGCATTCAGGAAGGTTTTCTGGGTGGCTTCCCTTTGTTCTCTCAAAGTATATCTTAGTCAATTATTGCGCATTTATACAATTAGTATAATTACATCTAACTACATAATTAGTGTAAATATGTGTGATGACTTAAATAGAACTTGCAATTACAACACGTCCTGGTGTAACAACCCTCAGTCAAGTTTCTTTTAAAAGAGGGCAGAGAAGCTTGCGCCGAACAGGCCTGCCAGACTCAGAACCTGTTTGTGAAGTGTCCACGTTGAGAGCCCTTGAAGCCTGAGCAGCGGCGACCAAGAAACAGCACTGTCTGGGCCATCGGGAGCTCAGGGTTGGTGGGTGGGGGCGTGGGTTTTTGTGAAGAAGCATGAGTGAATATTTGTGAGCCAGCTGCAGCAGTAGTTCCTGAGGCAGAGGCATGACCCTGGCCCGAGGGAGGCCAGCCCGGAGCTGCGCTGGACAGCACAGGAGATCAGCAGAAAGGACGTTGGGTCTACCGGTGCCCCAGAACGACTCGTGGACATCGTGGGGAAGAACACATCCGTAGCTCTTGGATGAGGCATGTGCGAAGAATAGCAGAATGCGATGGAACCACCTAGAAGAGTGTTTGCTGCCAGCCGGAGTGCTTTGCATGGCTCAGACTTGGCCTCTGTGCCAGAGACTGTTGTTAGCCCATTGTACAGATGGGGACACTGAGACCCAGAAGTAGTGATGGTTAGAGCTGGGAGCCACACCAGGTAGATCAGCCAGAATGACTGCTCAGGACAGTCATGAAGAGGCTGACGCTGTCCTGGGATCTCCTCCTCCCCTGGTTTTCCCACTCGCAGCCCCCAGCTCTGCAGAATGTGGGTATAAAAGGGTCCCCATGACTAGCCCGCCCTGGGGCCACAAGGCTGGCCTCGTCTGCTCCAGGGCCCCTGCACTCCCAAGGGATTCCAGTCAGCCAGTGAGCCATGGGACTGTGCTCCTGGCTCCTCATCTCTCTTTGCTGTGGCTGCTAAGGAGCTCACAGCCCAGTCTGGGACTCACCTCCAACAATTGTATAGGGCGTATGACATGGCTTCGCCTTATTTTCCTAAGTTTATTTTCCTTTCTCCTTTCTTTTTTTTAAACTATATGCCACTAAAGGTTTCATCTTTTTATTTATTTATTTATTTATTTATTTTTTTTGAGTCTGAGTCTCACTCTGTCACCCAGGCTGAAGTGCAGTAGCAGGCTCACAGCCACCACAGCCTCAAGCTGCTGAGCTCAGGCAATCCTTCTGCTTCAGCCTCCCAAGTAGCTAGAACTATAGGCATGCACCACCACACCCAGCTAATTTTTCTTGATTTGTTGTAGAGATGAGGTCTCACCAAGTTCCCCAGGCTGGTGTCTTGAACCCCTGGGCTCAGACAATGCTCTCACCTCAGCCTGCCAAAGTGCTGGGATTACAGGCATGAGCCAGCACGCCCAGTCCCTCCTTTCTCCTTTCTTCTTTATTTTGTATTTCAACGTACTATATCTGTACTACACAAATCCTTTTCCTGAAGTCAGAGTAGATATCAGTAAAAAGTGCTGATCCCTCCGGTATGCTCTGCTCTTCCTGTGACCAAGGTCAAAGCCTCCTTGAAGGACCTGTTTCTTTCTTGTGTGTGTGGCTGAGATTGCCTGGCTCATTCCTGAAGGACACCTGCTTGTCTGCTCTTCCAAGTCACAACCAGGAAAGCCAAAGTCTCTTGTGACCCTAAGGCAAGGGTTCCCAGCCCCTGCACTCCCCACATACCCACTTTGTGGCAGGCACATGTGGGATTCCCGATGCATGGCTGGCCTGCTAAACCCACACAGCTGCCCCTGCAAGTGAGATCGTGTCCCCTCCAGGGTGTGCAGACAGACCCCAGGCTCAGAGCGTCAAATGACTTGCTCCAGGTTATAGAGGAATGCAACAGCGTGAGCCCAGCAGGACCCCGACCTCAATGTCACTGGCCTTTCTGGTGTCCCACTGGGATCCCCGATTTCAGGGATGACAGAAAATGGCAACTGAATTATAGCAATAAGTAGAAATTGAAGACCAAAGAAAGCAACGTAGAGGTGGAAGCTGGAGGTGGACGGGGCTGCGGTGAGGCTGAGGTTCTCCGGCGCTTTGTGTGCCCTGGGATTCTCACAGGGAGAGCATTTCACAGTGGATGCTTCATGTCGTGATGCTCTGCAGTGCCAGGTGTGCATTCACACACTGAGTGTCACCCCTGCGAAATGAGTGGGCAGCTGGAGCTTGGGGACTCAGGGACATGTGGCTGCGAGCTTCACAGCTGACCGTGCTTTCTCTTCCTTCTCTTCCATATCCTCCCGTAGACTCTGCGGAGCAGACAGGGCAGGACTTAAGGCTCATTTTACAGATGAGGAAACTGAGGCTCAGAGGTAGCTATGTACACACAGTTACAGGTCCACATGATAAGCCCATTCAGAATCTGGGCTCCTGGCTCCCAACCCTTTCCGTCCCAAGGCCAGAGCTGTGGCCACCTGTTATCCTGGCCTTGCCTCCCTGGGCAAGTGCCTCATCCTTCCCTGCCATTCGCGTCCCCCTGCCCATCTCCCTGCCTTATATCTCCACTGGGCTCCTGCAGTGGAACCTGACAGGAGTCCCTGGCCCTCGGAGTGTTCCTCCACGCCTTTTCTCCCTTTCCAGGATTCCGAACCAACCAAGTCGCTCCCTTGATTTGAAATCCGTCAAAGCACACACCCCGTCAGGATGGCTCTCACTCAGATGGACCCCTCTGCTCCAGACCCACAGCAACAGCAGATAAAATGTAGACAGGGGCAAGAAAGATACAGCTGTGTGCCGCTATGTCCCAAGACACAGCAGCGAGCGAGGCCGATGCCCCAGGCTGTGGGGCTCCAGGTTCAGAACCGGACAAGGGCCACCCAGAGGGAGAGGGCAGCTCACGCAGGGTCATGGGTCCAGAGTTCTCTGGGCAAGAGAAGTGCAGGCAGGCCCTTCTCTGTCTGGGAGGCAGTCCGCGCCTGGGGCCACGGTTGAACGTGGGGAGCCGGGCCAGTGCTGGGGCCAGCACCAGGGCCAGCATCACCAAGGCCACTGCAGA